TTATAGGGACGGATATTTGCAAATTAACCTCGGCTATAATGTAGTGTATCGATGATATTGTGCCTTAGCTAATAGATAAATAACAACATAAGTATGAAATCCTTAACCATGACAAACTAATTATATGTTATGTGAATATGTCTCTTTTGTGCTTGTGGAGGCAACGGGTGGAGGCAGCGGGTGGAGGCAGCGGGTGGAGGCAGCGGGTGCAGGCAGCGGGTGGAGGCAACGGGTGGAGGCAACGGGTGGAGGCAGCGGGTGGAGGCAGCGGGTGGAGGCAGCGGGTGGAGGCAGCGGGTGGAGGCAACGGCCGCACGTTGCCAGGTTTGAGGCGACTTTGAGCCCAGAGCAGAGGGTGCAGAGTGACATCTCTGTTCTCAGCTCACAGTCAACATCTGCAGCTTTCACCGCTCTCTCTCTCTTTCTCTCTGCTCTCTCTCTGCTCTCTCTATCTCTGCTTTCTCTCTGCTCTCTCTATCTCCCTGCTTTTTCTCTCTGGTCTCTCGCTCTCTGCTTTCTCTCTCTCAGTCTCTCTCTCTCAGTCTCTCTCTCAGCTTTCTCCTTCTGTCAGTCACTCTCATACTGCAGTGTTTCCCAACCTTTGGGTCTCCGTGAGCCTTGAGAACTACATCTTTATCACTTGGTAAAGGTTTAGAATGAAAGGAAAATAGTAAAGTATTTGTGTTGTTAGTTCTTCTACATCTTAGAAAATCAAAGAAAGAGAAAAATGACATTTCTTTCTTCAAGTAGTAAACATTACAGGGTTAAAGAACACTTTTCAGTCACTCTAAAGACAGAGGAGACAGATGCAGTAAATAAGGTTAATTTCAAACTTATATTTCTCATTTGCAGCAGAAGAAAACACAGAAGATCCAGACGTTGGACCTGAGGGAGATTCAAAGGAAGAGAAACACATTCAGATCAGTTTCCAAAGAACCAAGAGGCTTTTGTTTCTGTCACGTCCGACTCTCGCTGACAGGTCATTGTCTCCTGCTTCAACCTCTAAAGTCACTCCCTCTCACCCTCTTGCCCCCCCCCCCCCCCCTCCCTCTCTCTCCCCCTCCCTCTCTTCACGGATCCAAACCAAATCTGGATCAGGACTAAACTGGGCCCAGAGTGTCTCCCTCTGAAACAAACAGGACACGCCTCATCACTCCCTCACCCTCAATCTCAGCCTCAGCCTCAGTCTCAGCCTCAGTCTCAGCCTCACCCTCAGCCTCACCCTCAGCCTCACCCTCAGCCTCACCCTCACCCTCACCCTCACCCTCAATCTCAGTCTCAGTCTCAGCCTCAGTCTCAGTCTCACCCTCAGTCTCAGCCTCACCCTCAGTCTCAGTCTCAGCCTCAGTCTCAGTCTCACCCTCAGTCTCAGCCTCACCCTCAGTCTCAGTCTCAGTCTCAGCCTCAGTCTCAGCCTCACCCTCAGTCTCAGTCTCAGCTGGGGCATGTGCTTCATCATGACACATCTATGTTTTTGTTTTTGCGTAAAACCGCTGCATTATTATTATCATTATTATTGATAATATTATTAATAATATTGTTAATAATATTATTAATAATATTGTTAATAATATTGTTAATAATATTATTAATAATATTGTTAATAATATTGTTAATAATATTGTTAATAATATTGTTGTTGTTGTTTTGTTGTTGTTGTTGTTGTTGCTGCTGCTGCTGTTGTTGTTGTTGTTGTTGTTGTTGTTGTTGCTGTTGTTGCTGTTGCTGCTGCTGCTGTTGTTGTTGTTGTTGTTGTTATCATCATTATTATTGTTATTAGGTGTGTAATCCATGAATCTTGGTGCTGTAACCTAGACTAGCCTAGCCGTGGCTGCTGCTGTCTCACCTCCTTTCACATACGCTCTCTTTATTCAAGGCTAGGTTTAAAACAGTCCTCTTTAGTTTAGCATATGGCTAGGAAGGTAAGACTCAGGGAAGGCTAAACTCCTCAGACTGTCAGTCAAGCTGCATAGGGAGTCAGTTATGGTAACTTGAGCACTATCCTCTCCTCCTTCCTACTTTACCATAGCATTATTAGGATTTTGACTGTTGTTTATTCATTGCTATTATTTCATGGTACGATGACGGGATCTCTGAGCCTGGCCTCCTCCATCTACACCTGCGGACTGCCCCGCCCGACCCGCCTGGGAGTGCTTCAGTCCTGCACCGGACCTGTCCACGTTCAGCGGCCACTGGTCCACGTTCTGTAGCTAGCTTAGGTCCTAGATCATTAGCCTGTCCGTCCGGAGGAGCGGATCCCTTTCTCAAATGGGTCTCCCTCCCTGTGGGTTTCCCGAGTTCTCCCCAAGGTTTCTCACTTTTTCCCACTGGGTTTTTTAAGAGTTTTTCCTTGTCGATGCAGGAGGGTCTTGTTGGACAGTTAGTGTCCAACAGAAAGGATTGGTGATGATCAGGACACTTTAACATTCTACAACATGTATGGACATTTTCTTCTGTGTGTGCTTTATATTTTTCATGTGTTTTAACTGTTGATTCTCTGATCTGTGTTGGTGATTTCAATGGTTTTGGTAAGTCCTCGGAGATGACTTCTGTTGTGACCTAGGGCTATACAAGAATAAATTGTATTGTGTTGTATTATTATTAGTATTAGACGCCATCTTGTAATAATACTATTATTACAAGATGGCGTCTGGTACGGTCGCCATGGCTCTTTGGTGCTCTCTGTTTCTTTTGTTTTTACTTTTTAACTGTGTATCTGGCTGTTCCTACACCCGTGAGGAACTTATGAACATCCGACCCACCGTTCCCATGGACCTACTGCCTGTTTTCTTGGCATCTGCGGCTGATGTAATTCATGTTTTAGACAAAAAAGTGAGGGCCCGTGAAAAGGGGAAAGCGTGGAGGCCTCCTTGTGCGTCTGAGGAAGAGAGGAGCATGCACGGCTCTCCTCGGCATTTTCCTCTCTAACATTCGCTCACTGGGCAATAAGAAGGACGAACTCAGCCTGCTGATGAGAAGAAACAAGGACTTCGCCTCATCCTGTGTCCTCTGCTTCACTGAGACCTGGCTAAATGAGCGGATCCCGGACTGCAGGGCTGCAGGGCTTTTGGCTGTTCCGCGCGGATCGCCATTGTGCGCTCTCAGGAAAGAGCAGATGCGGAGGACTCTGCTTCTACATCAATACAAACTGGTGTAACGATGTGACAGTGAACTCCAAGCACTGTTCTCCTGCTCTGGAATATCTTTTCATTCATTGCAAGCCGTTCTACTCACCATGTGAGTTTTTTTCATTCATTCTTGCCTCTGTTTACATACCGCCATGCGCGGACGCGCGGGAGGCTCAGTGCGTACTCGCAGAGCAAGTACTATGTTTGGAGCGTTTATACCCGGACTCTCTGATTATTATCCTGGGGGATTTTAATAAGGAAAACTTGAGCCAGGAATGACCCAAATACAGACAGTTTATCACATGCCCGACCAGCGAAGAGAACACTCTGGATCACTGTTACACTACTGTGCGCGGAGCTTTTCGCGCTGTTCCCAAGCCAGCCCTCGGCTTCTCAGATCACTCCATGATACATCTGGTTCCTGCTTACAGACAGAAACTAAAGCTCTCGAAACCTGTAGTGAGGTGCTCCAAAGTGTGGTCTGATGAGGCTGTGGAAGATCGGCGCGCATGCATGGAATCTACAGACTGGGACCTTTTCAGAGCTGCCACAGACAGTTTGGATGAATACACGGACACTGTGACGTCATACATTCACTTCTGCGAGGATAGCATTATTCCAACAAGGACCAGGGTCATCTATAACAACGACAAACCCTGGTTCACTGCTAAACTCCGGCAGCTCAGGAAAGCAAAGGAGTCTGCTTTCAGGGAGGGGGACCGCAGCGGCTACAAAGCAGCTAAATATCAGTTCAGAAACAAACCGAAAGCAGCCAAGTCCCGGCACAGAGAACGACTACAGGAGCAGTTTGGAAACAACGACAATGCTTCTGTCTGGAGAGGCCTATACGGGAGATCACAAACTACAAGCCCAAAGCCCCCCTCTGTGCTGACGACCACAAACTGGCCAACAACCTGAACCATTTTTTCAGCCGCTTTGATGCTGCCCCGGTCACCTACCCCACCCCCCACTACTCTAACGATCCACCCATCAGCTCTGCCTCCACCCTGACAATAGCCTCAAAAGACATCAAACAACTCTTCTTGAGGCTGCACCCACGCAAAACTCCTGGCCCGGACCACGTGTCTCCGGCCACTCTGAGACACTGCGCCAGTGAGCTTACTCCTGTGTTCACTGACATTTTCAACACCTCTCTGGAGTCTTGCCATGTCCCGGCCTGCTTCAAATCCTCCATCATTGTCCCCGTTCCGAAGAAGCCCGGGATCACAGGACTCAATGACTACAGACCTGTGGCACTTACGTCTGTCGTCATGAAGTCATTTGAACGCCTGGTTCTCTCCCATCTCAAGTCCTTCACCTCCCCCCTCCTGGACCCCTTGCATTTCGCCTACAGAGCCAACAGATCTGTAGACGACGCAATTAACCTGGCCCTTGAAGTCAATAATTCCCTTTGACTGACGTGTACAAAGTTGATGCAAGAGTAAGACAGAGATCTCCAAGTTTAACATCTGTATTTAATTTATCTTTACAATCAGATACAGAAATTCCAACAAAGAGAGCTCCTAAACTATGCATGTCCCTCTCTCTTGCCCTCGGCTCATTGACTGACTGTCCTCAAAGACCTTCAGGGAGGTCATAAAAGGGAGACTTCCGATGATGTCATCCATATGCGCCCAACGTGGGGCTTCCGGGTGTGCTGACATCCCTGGTCCACTGGGAGGCGTCAGAATGCCGTTGGTGAATCTCCCAGTCTGCCTCAAGATCAGGTTCTGAACTTTTGCCCTCGTCAAAATGTTTATTATTTAAAGTTAATAATTCGCCCTGTTTAAACAGCATTTTATCTTTATGACTCATGTCTGATTATCCTGTGTCCTTGAGACTTAAACTGTCTGAGAGAACAGGTCTTGTTTGGCTATGATGAAAATTAGGACCATCGTTCAAAATGGTCAAATTATTGTCACATCTGAATAGTGTAGATTTAAAATATACAACAGTTTCCCTCTTTTGACCTGATTAAAAATTAGGTCACAATCCACATCGTCGTTTATCATCAATACTTGTGCTTAGTTCCGGCTTGATATCTGTGAAGAGTTAATACAGAAAGAATACACACACAACAAACCACATTTTAACCATTCCTTCAATACTATTTGATGACTACTGCTGTGTCATTCTGAGTCTTCATCAACCTCGTCTGTAATGTATGCACTGAATCTATTCACTATAGTTTAAACTATTCTAATCTATTTACAAATATGTTTGCATCTTTGCTTTTATTGAGCCATATTCTTAAACATATGTTTTTATCTAATAAATCTATCTATACTGTGGTTTGCTTTCATTATCAGTGGCTCTGTGCCATTTTGTGGGGCTTTACTCATTTTTCCAAACATATTTTGTTGAACCAGGAAGTGCTGTCACTTCCTCCTCTCAGACCGTTTGGGATGAATGTACATCGTTAATCAAATTGGTATTATCCTTACAAGAGCTAATCTATTTTAGCAGGTTTCTCTGGGGTCAGTCCCTTTACAACGGTATTTGATTCTCTAATCCAGCCATTCCCAAACTCAGTAACACCGAGGCCCCCTTAAAAATCTGACGGGTCTGCGTGGCCCCCCAAAATAATAACCAAGAAGACAACATTAAGAATAGGCTCTTCTGGTCATTTTATTTTGGGGAAATAGCCTCTGCTACAAACATTGTAATACAAAAATGATTACAGTGGATTATTCAAGTCAAATAATGAACACAAATATTTTAATATTACAAACAAACATTATAAATTTAACATTAAATAATTATATTATTTTTTTATTTTTTTTATGACCTCCCGCGGCCCCCCTGCAGTACCCTCGCAGCCCACCAGGGGGCCGCGGACCCCACTTTGGGAGACACTGCTCTAATCTATTGCTGACAA